TACTGACTCAAGAGGAATAGTATAAAATTGACACACAGCAGATCAAATCGGATTAAGTTGCAAAGTTTATAGAAACTTTTGTTCAATTTCATTTCCAACGCTTGATTCCTCCGTAAAGAAACTCGTCTCCGATGTCAACAGAAGTAAAACTGTGTCCCAGCGTTAAATTTGATGTTCCATATTATGCAGTCGCATTCCCGTCCCCAATTTAAATTAATATTAGTTTCCAGTTGTTCGATTCGCATGCAATATTCCAATATTTACTAATAATAAACAATAATAATTACGGTTATTATTATTTGAGCAAATTAAACTTGGGGCTCTGTGATTTGCGATTTTCCGAAAAACCCCTAAATTGGTTGCTGTTTGTAACGACTAATGAAACCTGCTTCACAATTAATGCGTTCCTATAAAAAGCAAATAATTTGTTTCGCGGGCGTTTGACACGCAGGCGTGGTCACGCATGCAATTCTCGTTCATATGAAAAACTGGCACAGAATAACCCATTTTCGATGTGCGTATGGCTGTTATTATTGAAGATACCAAGATATAATATAATTGTCGGTATGTTCCACAATATGAAAGACGTTTTGATTTTGTATGTCTTCATTGTAATTATTTAATTTAAATAAAATTTAAAGCTTTGTTAGTCAGTTGGAGGGTTATATACCTATTAAGAGTATAATTTATATCCATTTTAGATGCTTAGTGTGATGGTTCAATTCAATTTTTATTTTCGCAAGAAGTCCAAAAAATACTTTCCTTTAGATATATGGAAAGTAAAGTAAAACCACTGTAATAAGCAACTTAAAGAAAAAAAATGAAGTCTTTATGGTCCCGTTAAAATGGAATATTAAATTCATTTTTTTAAATTGTAATAAATCTAAATATTCCATTGAAAATGTATTTACAAACCTAAAACGCCTTTCTTATTAAGGAAGATGGAAATATGTTAAAATCGACAATTTTTAAATTAAAGTTGGTACCATTTTCATGTCTCTGTTTTTTTTTCTTCTTGCATACGACGCCCACTACCATCCCTCTCTTTGGCTTGAAAATCCTTTCGATCCCTGTTTTAGACTTTTGGCAAAACTTTTTTGCAGTTTTATGTTATACATCATGCCTCTCTTCTTCCTCACCAATAACTATTCCTTCATCTAAAATATGTTTTGGACTTTTCTCTTCTAAAGTCTCTACATAGCGTTCATCACTTCGCTTCCATCGCTTCTAACTATTCGGGGTTCTTTTTGTTGATAAGCAACCCTGCATCTTTCTGAAATCCGTATACATCCCAATTTCTTGGCATTTACTTTGCCAAATCAGAATTCAAGCATTCTTTTCACTAATTAGTTCGCTATTGAATAATACTTCCTGTCTTTCAGCAATTTTTTATATAGCCTGTTCCTTTTGATCTTCAATGGGTGACCTTTATAGCATTTTTATGAGTAAACCACTGGAACTTCAGTAATCAAACATATCACAATAACGAAAATAAAGATTTAAACTTAGGCTTGAATGTGGTCTAATTTTTATTGGTGATACGTTTCGAAAATGAAATTTATAAAGAAATAGGCTTATTTGGAAAAATTGAGAATTTGTAATTATAAGTTAATTTTACTTTAATTTTTACTAACTGCTACACATAAATTTGAAAGACCCGTGACGAATAATGAACCTCTTTAAAAATTCATTTGCTCAATGCGATATTCGGAACATTCTAAGTTTTCAAATTTATAACATCTGCTCGAGGAAAGTAAACCCATTATCGGACGGGCCAAATAAGATGGCGTATAGTAGAGTAATATATACGTAATATACACTCGCTGCAACTTATACGACTATTTTATGTGCAAACTACTAACACCAAACTGCCTGTACACTTTCGTCGGTCGTAAAAAGACAAATAATAAAATAAATCTTTTCATAACCACTCCATAAAAATAAAGGAGATTAAATGAGCTCATCTTCAATTATATAAGAATCCTATGTACTCAGTTACTGTAATTTAAACTGTGAAATGTTAAACTATAATTTTGGGCCAAAAATATTTTATTTCAAGAAAAATATATTATTATGACAACTCAAAAGTTTCTAAAGCTCCAGTCTCGAAAATATCTTTTTCTATTCCCCTCTGATTACACACCGATCCACCGTGCTGGAAGAGTGACTTCACCACGTCAGTTTGGTTTTCCACGAATCCGAGCCACTTCGGACATTTCTGGGATATTACCGCACGGGTTTGGGAGCAATCTGATGTTTTCGGAGATATTTCTCATGTCAGTGAATGTATTCGTGTTGTTTTACGAAAATGTACTCAAAACCTAACGGTCGTAGAAAAAGTATAGTATGCAACACATTCGGTAAACTTTTTAAGTCACTCGTTTATTAGGCACTCGTGAATGGAATATTAAAAACTCGTGAATCAAATGCCATTTACCGCACTTGTTGCATAATAGACTATTGGTATTGGTATTGGTATTAAAGGGGGGCGCCCTCGCGGGCGTCCAAGCACTTAGGCCACCAGATGGGCCCGTTGTGCCCCCAGGCCGCTCTAGAGGGCGTCCAGAATGCCGCCCCTCCTGTAGAAGGTCAGCAACTCCTTTAGCCCAATAATAGACTATTAAGATTATTTAAAAATTATTTAAAAATGGATTTTTTCTACTCCCGTATGTAAAATACCTAATTACTCACCGATCTAGCGTGCGGGAAGCATCACTTTACCACGTCAGTCTCGTTACACAGGAATCCGAGCCACTTCGGTCATTGCCGGGATTTTACATCACGGGTTTGGGAGCAATCGGATGTTTTCGGAGATATTTCCCACGCTTTGAATTTTTTACGTTTGTCAATTCTGACGGTCACGTCAGTGAATGTACTCGCGTTGTTTTGCGAAAATATACCCAAAAACTAAGGGTCGTAGAAAAAGTATAGTATGCAACAGGTTCGGTAAACTTTCACTCGTCAAGTCACTCGTCTACTAAACACTCGCTCCGCTCGTGTCAAATAAACTCATGAGTCAAATGCCGTTTACCGCACTTGTTGCATAATATACTATTACCGTACGGGTTTGGGAGCAATCGGATCTTTTCCTAGATTTTATGGCGCAGTTTGAGTTTGACGTTTGTCAATTCTGACGATCATGTCAGTGAATGTATGCGTGTTGTTTTGATAAAATGCGCTCAAAAACGAACGGTCGTAGAAAAAGTATAGCATGCAACATGTTCAGTAAAATTTTTTGGAATCACGCGTTTATTAAACAAGTTTGTTAGGTCCTCCTCTAATTTGCAATACCTTAATTTTAATTCTGTGGCCGATATGGAACACGCATTCACCAGCTTAGGATAATTTAGTATTTGCAAGGATGCTTAAAATTTGTGCCATTGATTACCTTTCCCGTTAAGTACAATTTTTAAGTAATTTCTAGAGTGTGGTTTCCAACATTGCATTCCAATGGACTTAAATTCTTATTCTGCTGGTCCAAATCTGCCTTTTTGTTTTAGGGAATTTTTTGTTTCTATTGGGTATTGTATTTTAAGCAGCCTACAAAATCAAAAAAATTGTCGAACTTACCAACCAATGCGGTTGGAATCTACCACAGTGTTTTCCAATGTTGAATGTTGAAAGTTTTGCTAAAATCTAGGAGACATGACACGACTAACGCATGGTATTCATAAAGTACTTTTGTTGAACAATTAGTTTTTATTTGGGAAGTCGCGCAAAGCAGTTGATGTGACTATCGATTTGTTTGTGAGAGAATGAACGAAAAAATTAATAGTTTTTCCCACAAACATCCTTTCCTTAAGTTGAACACTGAATTTATGGGAATGTGTGAGCATTGTCCTTATCTCACCTTCCGGACGTGTGACAAACTACCTGGTCAAATTTTGCCATATACGGATGCATATTTTCCTAGTAACTGCGTGAACAGTCCTTTGTTTTTTAATACATGAAAAATTGCAAGATTAAGAAATAACTTTAATAGATTAGATACATAGATAGATAGATCCTGTTCAAAATAATGTTCAAAATTAGATGGTAGTATTTAATACAGTTATAGGTGATACCATTCACAGACAAGACCGTTTTTTGTAAAGGGATAAAAAAATTATTAATTAAAGCTAAATGAAGAGGGGGGACTTCGAGGTATCTATCTCATTAATTTCTACCTTTAATAAATATTTTAATTTTTTTAAAGCATAGCGCAGGTTTAAAAAAATAACTAACTTAAATTTTTAAAATAAACAAAGAACTCAAAATCCGATAAGTAATTTTAGAATTTTTGTATTTCCCTTATTTACAATTAAATGAGGTTTAAATTTATATGGTATATACTTTGGTCACTTGTCTATCGGACAAGTGGTAGCGTTCGCCATCAAAAACGATTTTTGTGGGTAATTTCTTTTCGCGGAGTAACCACCGATATGAAAAGAAAATGGGCGGCGAGCTCGGAAGAGCTTTAAAGTGGACTGTAGGCTTTAAAATTTAGAAATACTACCGATCGCCAAACGGGCCGCTAAAGAACTTTAAGGTCTCACCTTAAGCGCACGCCTCCGTCTCCTCAGCAGGCCAGCTTCCTCTTTGCTGTAAGTTTTGCTACTCAATTCGCAGAACTTACTGGTGTTACGCCACGGACAACATAAGAACGCACAACGAAAATCTTTAGAATTAAAGTTCCCTTCGCGGAAAACGCGCAACAGATCTCGCTGCTGCCGCACACGGAATGTTAATGCACTCCCGATCGGCTTGACCCAAAAAAAACTTTAACGGCAATACCGCGGTAAAAAATGTTCCAGCAACTTAAATTTTTATTTAAGTACGCACAAAATTATTTGTCCCAAAAACCCGACTAAACATAAGAAAACTTTCTCTCTTTGCAAATTACCAAAAAAAAAAATAAAAAAAATTTATATATATACAAGGACAGACGTGTGATCTGTCCATAACCGCCCACCACAATACGCAGTATTGTCATGGGTTGATAGGCAAGGGACACAACTTAATCACGGGGCGTTTGAAAACGCCAGTGCTTGTCCGGACGGTAGCCACTCGGACGACACCATCAGGTCCGGAATGGACTTCGCTTAAACGAGCAATGGGCCATCGTAAAGGAGGTGAATTGCTCTGTTTTATAATCACTAAAGCGCCCGGTTTTACATTTGGAGAGAGACTGTTCCATTTGGCTCTTTGTTGGAGCGTATGGAGATATTCTTTAGACCATCGAGTCCAGATCTGTTGGTGAAATTTGGAGAGAAGCTGCCAACGAGAAAGGCGATTGTTCGGGACGTGTTGCACGAGGTCCTCGGGAGGGGCGTTCAAAGGCTCCATTGTGAGGAAGTACCCGGGCGTTAAAACATTCAAGTCGTTCGGATCCTCACTTAGAGGGCATAACGGACGCGAATTCATTATCGCTTCGACTTGGGTGAATAAAGTGTAGAGTTCCTCAAAAGTTAATACCTGTTCCCCAATCGTACGGGCTATGTGACCCTTAACCCTTTTGATGTTGGACTCCCATAGTCCTCCAAAGTGTGGAGATGAGGGGGGAATAAAGTGCCACTTAATGTAGTAGTGATTGGTGGCGGTTTCAGCCAGCCTGTTTAATTCTTTACTTGCCCCAGAAAAGTTTGTGCCGTTGTCGCTATGAATGTTATCGCATCTGCCGCGGCGGCTGACAAATCGTTTGAAGGCAGCTAAGAATGCGCTCGTGGACAGATCCGACACTAGCTCCAGGTGAACAGCCTTGGTGGAGAAACAAATAAAGAGTGCTAGGTATGCTTTAAGGATCGGTGCCTTTCGAATCCTGGACATTACAATTGGGAAAGGTCCTGCGAAATCGACGCCGACGATGCTGAAGGGCTTAAGTTCGAAAATGCGCGCTATGGGTAAGTTTCCCATTAAAGGAACAGGCGACGTGGGGTTTACTCGAAAGCATTTGACGCATTTGGACAAAACCCTTCGGATTGTTCGTTTTGGAGAAATAATCCAGAAACGCTGGGAAATTAGATATTGGAGTCGACTCGATAATCATCTCAGTTAATCGGCACTGGCTAGGAAGTAACGCAGGAAATTTACGTTCGTAGGAAATGGATGCTTGGCTTAATCGTCCACCCACTCTCAAAGTTCCAGCATTGTTTCTATTGGGTATTGTATTTTAAGCAGCCTACAAAATCAAAAAAATTGTCGAACTTACCAACCAATGCGGTTGGAATCTACCACAGTGTTTTCCAATGTTGAATGTTGAAAGTTTTGCTAAAATCTAGGAGACATGACACGACTAACGCATGGTATTCATAAAGTACTTTTGTTGAACAATTAGTTTTTATTTGGGAAGTCGCGCAAAGCAGTTGATGTGACTATCGATTTGTTTGTGAGAGAATGAACGAAAAAATTAATAGTTTTTCCCACAAACATCCTTTCCTTAAGTTGAACACTGAATTTATGGGAATGTGTGAGCATTGTCCTTATCTCACCTTCCGGACGTGTGACAAACTACCTGGTCAAATTTTGCCATATACGGATGCATATTTTCCTAGTAACTGCGTGAACAGTCCTTTGTTTTTTAATACATGAAAAATTGCAAGATTAAGAAATAACTTTAATAGATTAGATACATAGATAGATAGATCCTGTTCAAAATAATGTTCAAAATTAGATGGTAGTATTTAATACAGTTATAGGTGATACCATTCACAGACAAGACCGTTTTTTGTAAAGGGATAAAAAAATTATTAATTAAAGCTAAATGAAGAGGGGGGACTTCGAGGTATCTATCTCATTAATTTCTACCTTTAATAAATATTTTAATTTTTTTAAAGCATAGCGCAGGTTTAAAAAAATAACTAACTTAAATTTTTAAAATAAACAAAGAACTCAAAATCCGATAAGTAATTTTAGAATTTTTGTATTTCCCTTATTTACAATTAAATGAGGTTTAAATTTATATGGTATATACTTTGGTCACTTGTCTATCGGACAAGTGGTAGCGTTCGCCATCAAAAACGATTTTTGTGGGTAATTTCTTTTCGCGGAGTAACCACCGATATGAAAAGAAAATGGGCGGCGAGCTCGGAAGAGCTTTAAAGTGGACTGTAGGCTTTAAAATTTAGAAATACTACCGATCGCCAAACGGGCCGCTAAAGAACTTTAAGGTCTCACCTTAAGCGCACGCCTCCGTCTCCTCAGCAGGCCAGCTTCCTCTTTGCTGTAAGTTTTGCTACTCAATTCGCAGAACTTACTGGTGTTACGCCACGGACAACATAAGAACGCACAACGAAAATCTTTAGAATTAAAGTTCCCTTCGCGGAAAACGCGCAACAGATCTCGCTGCTGCCGCACACGGAATGTTAATGCACTCCCGATCGGCTTGACCCAAAAAAAACTTTAACGGCAATACCGCGGTAAAAAATGTTCCAGCAACTTAAATTTTTATTTAAGTACGCACAAAATTATTTGTCCCAAAAACCCGACTAAACATAAGAAAACTTTCTCTCTTTGCAAATTACCAAAAAAAAAAATAAAAAAAATTTATATATATACAAGGACAGACGTGTGATCTGTCCATAACCGCCCACCACAATACGCAGTATTGCCATGGGTTGATAGGCAAGGGACACAACTTAATCACGGGGCGTTTGAAAACGCCAGTGCTTGTCCGGACGGTAGCCACTCGGACGACACCATCAGGTCCGGAATGGACTTCGCTTAAACGAGCAATGGGCCATCGTAAAGGAGGTGAATTGCTCTGTTTTATAATCACTAAAGCGCCCGGTTTTACATTTGGAGAGAGACTGTTCCATTTGGCTCTTTGTTGGAGCGTATGGAGATATTCTTTAGACCATCGAGTCCAGATCTGTTGGTGAAATTTGGAGAGAAGCTGCCAACGAGAAAGGCGATTGTTCGGGACGTGTTGCACGAGGTCCTCGGGAGGGGCGTTCAAAGGCTCCATTGTGAGGAAGTACCCGGGCGTTAAAACATTCAAGTCGTTCGGATCCTCACTTAGAGGGCATAACGGACGCGAATTCATTATCGCTTCGACTTGGGTGAATAAAGTGTAGAGTTCCTCAAAAGTTAATACCTGTTCCCCAATCGTACGGGCTATGTGACCCTTAACCCTTTTGATGTTGGACTCCCATAGTCCTCCAAAGTGTGGAGATGAGGGGGGAATAAAGTGCCACTTAATGTAGTAGTGATTGGTGGCGGTTTCAGCCAGCCTGTTTAATTCTTTACTTGCCCCAGAAAAGTTTGTGCCGTTGTCGCTATGAATGTTATCGCATCTGCCGCGGCGGCTGACAAATCGTTTGAAGGCAGCTAAGAATGCGCTCGTGGACAGATCCGACACTAGCTCCAGGTGAACAGCCTTGGTGGAGAAACAAATAAAGAGTGCTAGGTATGCTTTAAGGATCGGTGCCTTTCGAATCCTGGACATTACAATTGGGAAAGGTCCTGCGAAATCGACGCCGACGATGCTGAAGGGCTTAAGTTCGAAAATGCGCGCTATGGGTAAGTTTCCCATTAAAGGAACAGGCGACGTGGGGTTTACTCGAAAGCATTTGACGCATTTGGACAAAACCCTTCGGATTGTTCGTTTTGGAGAAATAATCCAGAAACGCTGGGAAATTAGATATTGGAGTCGACTCGATAATCATCTCAGTTAATCGGCACTGGCTAGGAAGTAACGCAGGAAATTTACGTTCGTAGGAAATGGATGCTTGGCTTAATCGTCCACCCACTCTCAAAGTTCCAGCATCGTCAAGAAATGGAGATAGTTTCCTGAAATTTTTAGCAAGAGGTTTACCATCCTTAAGAAGACGGAGTTCGTGACTAAAAAATAGGTCTTGCGAGCGTCTTACGAAAATTAACAGAGAATTGAAAGTCTCGGAGGATGTCAGAAAACCGGTTTCCAATTTATTCGATTTACGCAAGTAATGCACGTAACGTACCAAATAACTCAGCGACCGAACACATTTGTTTAAGGATGAAGAGTTCTCGAGCATGGTGTCTAGAAAATTGTGGAAGCTTGGGTGGTATGGAGGTTTAAGGTGCGAGCCTCTAATTCGTGGTCGTGGACGTCGGTGGGCTCACGTTCTAAAATAATGGGATTGCAATGCAAAAAAGATGGCCCCGCCCACCATAGAGAACTGTTCACTAACTCGGAAGGTAAACAACTACGGGATCCAAGGTCAGCGGGGTTCTCTCTAGATGAGACATAATGCCAACTGGAAGGATTAACTCTTTCCTGAACAAAAGACACCCTGTTACTGACGAAAGTCTTCCAACGGTGCGGAGACGATCTCAACCAACCCAGAGTAACCGTGGAATCAGAGTAACAGAAAATATCCTTAACTTCGGTATCGGATGACTTAATAGCCGTGGCCACAAATGACTCACCCCCAGCGGGGGCATGAAAAAAATTCGAAAAAAAAAACAAAAATAAAATCCATTATATACATATTAATTATATACTCTATAAAGCTATAATCGCCCTTACCGTTCCATACGGTGTAAAATTTTAGAAAAAAATGAATTTCGTCTAAACGAAGGAGGGCAGGGCGATATTTTGATATACGAGCATATACCTCATTGACTTTTGCTTTTTATAAAAAAGAAAAAATCAATATTAATCATTTGTAGCACATCTCCTGGACATCATGGTTATTCAATTCAGGAATGAAAGAGTTAGTAATCATAACTCTATACTGATCACCATTGACTGTAACGTTCTAGCCATCATCTTTTTTGAAGAAGTACGGACCAATGATTCCACCAGCCCATAAAGCGCACCAAACAGTCAGTTTTTCTGGATGTAACAGTGTTTCGACATACACTGGAGGATCAGCTTCGCTCCAAATGCGGCAGTTTTGTTTGTTGGCGTAGCCATTCAACCAGAAGTGCGCTTCATTGCTAAACAAAATTCGCTTATGAAAATTGGGAACAACGGCAATCTCGTTTTGGGCCCATTCGACAAGCGTTGTTCAGGCGTGAGTCTAGTCATGATGAATTGCCAAACCAAACTGAGAATAAATCACTTGACAGCTGTTAAATCGATCGCCATCTTGAACAGTAATGCCAACTTAAAGTTCTATACATCGAAAAAAAACGCCTATTAAAACAGCTATTACAATCAGAAAATTAAGAAAATCCAATACCAAAAGTTATGTAAAAGAAAATTCAAACAACCCAAGAATATTGGAACCCCCAAGCACAAACCTAAAGGATGTGTAAATGATTTTTTTTTATCCTAAGGTAGAAAACCTAAATTCCGAGAAAATGTAACACAAAACTAACCCGAAAACTTCATTGATAAAATAAAAACATTTTCAATTCTAGAGATTAAAAAATAAATAAATAAAAATGGAGACATTTAAAATCGGTAAGAGTCAGATTTATGTACTATTCCAAAATGATTTTTGTTATGTGGTTTAAGAGAATTATGACCAAACCTCCAAATCAAAAATGCACGAAATCAAAGCTGTTCTCTCAAGTATCCATCCAGTAAAATAATGTGCCCTTGCCTTCGTTCGTCGGCAGACTAATAGTTTTAATATTGACGGGAGTGCATACCAGCATCCAAGAGAAAGAAGCTTGTTAAAATCATCCCGTTAACCACGTGACACCCCCCTTCAAAGCCAGACGTGCGTGCTCTAGTGCCCGTCTGGATAATAGGGATGAAAGTCTTGTAATTATTTCAGTCACAAAAGTCGCCTTTAATTGCAGCCGCGTGAGCATTGAGAGGGGTGGCCCAATCGAATGTCGAAGAACTGAAGCCAAACGAATTTTCCGTCGTAGATCGTTTTACAATTTCGATTTTA